AGTGATTATTAGGAGAGTATTGCCTTTCAAGGAATTACAAAACTTTGTGTCAATGTAAAATACAGGCTGAGAGTTCTTTTAACCAACCCCCTTACCATACCACAAGAATCTAAACAGCAGCAAAAGCTATGTTGCTATCAGGCCAGCAGAGGGAGGACAAGTCCAGAATACAACATTTTCCCAGTGGAAGGCGAGATGAAAAAGCAGGAAAAGTCAGAAAAGTGTCAACAAGAGTCCACTGCTTAACATTTTCCGAAACAATTTCCCAAAAAGTTTGTCAAGGGATTCTCTCAAGATCCCATGTGGAAGACAGAGCATAATTATGGCTAAATCTATTTAAATGATGAGGAATGAAGAAGAGACTGAACCTCTTTCAGAGGTTTCAGAGGTTGCCCCAAAGCAGAAGGAGGAGTTGGGAAAGAGCTTGTTGGCTGGATCTCTGCAGGAAGACGGTAGAATCCTGCATTTTAGAGCTAGAATTGGCAGGGCTCAGGAAAGACTCTACCCATACAATTTGCCTTTAGAGTGAAATTTGAGGACTGAGGTAGAGAGGAAAAGAATTTTGACTATAGAGTCAGATAGAGCTGACTTAATACTCAGCAGTGCTACAGGCTAGCTGTGTGACCTTAGGAAAGTGATTTTTGAGTCTGAGCATCTTTACCTCATGTGTAAAGTTGGGATAATACTATGAACCTCATATCATTCTGTTATAAAGATAATGTATTTGAAGTGCCTAGCACAGAGTAAGCACTCAATGAATATGATACTATTGCCTGGGTGCCAAGCAGTTAGCAAGGTGGGAATTGTCAATGCATCTCCTCACATGGAATGTGGAGCCCATGGAACTTCTGACATCCAGGAATGGGAAAGGACTCACCATCTCAAATCTTCTGACTCCCAAATGTGGCTGCTTTCTCTTACCCTGAGAGAGACAAAGTTCTATTTAAAGAGGCACCGCTTCTGCCTCCTACTGCCCAGAGTTTCTGAAAGAAACACACAGCAGGAAAATGACATAAAGATTGACAAAGCCACATAGTAAGCAAATGCAGATTACCCTAGTAAGAGATGAAGAGAAATACAGAAGAGCTAGAGAGCATAAATCTGGGCCAATGGGATTCAGCACACATGCATTTTGAACTCTCTCTCTCTCTGTGTGTGTGTGTGTGTGTGTGTGTGTGATTTTTCAAGTTAAAGGGTACATTCATCCAGTGGGCCAGGAGTGAGTGAAGTGGGGATTTTGAGATTCACTATAGTGTGGAGAGAAAAATATTTGCAGTCTCCTGGTAAGCCATCCCTAGATTTCAGTTTATATTTTTGAGTAGCTAATAACTACCAATAAAAATGCAAGTTACAAAAACTTATATAATGAAGAGAATGTGTGCCTTCCTCCCCTGGTTTTGAACCTCCAAATTCACAGTCCTTTGGGAAATTACTGTTAAGGGTTTCTTGAATCTTCACACACATGTAGCATACCTGCACATGCTCTTCTGATTCTTGCTTTTTTTGTTTGTTTAAAAAAAGAGATGATTTATTTATTTATTTGAAAGACAGAGTTACAGAAAGAGAGAGGCCATTGTAATCCATAAGCTGTACTTTGGAAATTTATATTTATTAAATAAAAGTTAAAAAAATAAAAAAAAATCAAGAATGTATTTCATTTTTTAAAAAAAAAATTTATTTATTTATTTGAAAGGTAGAGTTATATAGAGAGGGAGATCTTCCATCCACTTGTTCAATCCCACGATGGTGGCAACCTCCACTCCGAAACCAGGAGCCTGAAACTCAATCCAGGTCTCCCACGTATGTGCAGGTGCCCAAGGACTTGGGCCATCTTCTGCTGCTTTCCCAGGCATGTTAACAGGGTGCTGGATCAGAAGTGGAGCAGCCAGGACTCACTGAAACCAGTGCTGTTTTGATATGGGGTGCTGGTGTTGCAGGCTGGAGCCCAACCTGCTGTGCCACAATGCAGGCCCCTTGTATTTCCTTTTATATGTATATAAAAGAATATATATATATATATATATATATATATAAAGGTGTATTCAAATACTTTGCCAATTTTGGGTCACTGAGTTTTTTGTCTTATCATATCAGGTTGTAAGAGTTTTTCTGTTTTTTATACTTATTTTAAATTTTGTTTATTTTCATTTGATTTGAAAGGCAGAGAGACAGGGAGAGGGAGAAGGAAACAGATAAACAAGGAGAGATCTTCCATCTACTGGTTCACTCCCCTAAAGGCCTGCAATAGCCAGGCCTGGGCCAGGTGGAAGCCATGAGCCTAGAAATCCAGATTTCCCACATGGGTGGCAGTGACCCAAGTAGTTGGGCCATAATCAGCTGCCTCTCACCATCTGCATTAGTAAGAGGTTATGATAGGAATCACATAGCCTGGACTTGCTCATATGGGATGCAGGAGTCACAAGTGACAGCTTAACTGCTGTACCAAATGCATGCCACCAAATAAATTAGCCCTTTGTGATAGGAAGGACAAATATTTATGGCTCCATTTTGCCTTTTGTTATGCAGAAAGTTGAATTTGATATATCGTTTATCCTTTATTTCTCTGTGGCTTCTGGATTATATGTTATTGTTAGAAAGATTGTTAAACTATCCATGGGGCGCCGGCGCCGCGGCTCAATAGGTTAATCCTCCACCTAGTGGCGCCAGCACACCGGGTTCTAGTCCCGGTTGGGGCGCTGGATTCTGTCCCGGTTGCCCCTCTTCCAGGCCAGCTCTCTGCTATGGCCAGGGAGTGCAGTGGAGGATGGCCCAAGTGCTTGGGCCCTGCACCCCATGGGAGACCAGGAGAAGCACCTGGCTCCTGCCTTCGGATCAGCGTGGTGCGCCGGCCACAGTGTGCTGGCCGCGGCGGCCATTGGAGGGTGAACCAACGGCAAAGGAAGACCTTTCTCTCTGTCTCTCTCTCTCACTGTCCACTCTGCCTGTAAAAAAAAAAAAAAAAAAAAAACCACACTATCCATGGGGCTGAAACTGTGGTACAGTGGGCTAAGTCTTGGCCTGCACTGCCAGCATCCCATATAGGTACTGGTGCATGTCCTGGCTGCTCCTCTTCCGATCCAGCTCTCTGCTGTGGCCTGGGAAAGCAGTAGAAGATGGCCAAAGTGCTTGGGCCTCTGCACACACAAGGGAGACCTGAAAGAAGCCCTGGCTCCTGGCTTTGGATCGGCCCAGCTCTGGCCATTGTGGCCATTTGGGGAGTGAATCAGCAAATGGAAGGCTTTTCTCTCTGTCTCGCCCTCTCTCTTTCTGTAACTCTACCTCTCAAATAAATAAAATCTTTAAAAATGTATGTAATATTTTCTTTCATAATCTTTTTTATATTTAACTCATTGATACATATGGACATTATTTTGATGTGAGATATGAGGTAGGGAAACAGCTCTCTTTTTTTTTCTCCAGATAGCTTCTCAGTTGTCTCAATACATTTATTGAGTAATCCATCCTTTCTCTGTAGTGAATTGAAATACCATCTTTACCATGTACTACATTCCTATATGTATTTGCATCAACTTCTGAACTTTCTGTTCTGTTCTTTTGATCAATCAGGCAGGCCTGGATGAATCCTGGCTCTGTCACTTCTGCTTGTGGGAGTCTGGGAAGGCTACAATGTCTGTAAGTCTCAGTTTTCTCAGCTGCAAAGTGGAAGTTCACTTACCTCACAGCGTTGTTGTAAGGACTGCAAGAGAAAACTGATGCGGGGGCCGGCACTGTGGCGTGGAGGGTAGAGCCACTGCCTGCTGTGCCAGCATCCCATATGGATGTTGGTTCAAGTCCTGGAAACTCCACTTCTGGTCCAGCTCTCTGCTATGGCCTGTAAAAGCAGAAGATGGCCCAAATCCTTGGGCCCCTACACCCATGTGGAAGACCTGGAAGAAGCTCCTGGCTCCTGGCTTCATATCGGCCCAGCTCTGGCTGTTGTGGCCATTTGGAGAGTGGACCAGCAGAATGAGGACCTCTCTCTCTTTCTTTATCTTCCTCTGCCTCTGTATAACTCTGCCTTTAAAATAAATAAATAAATATTTAAAAAAGAGAGAGTTAACTGATGTGAAGGTGCTTTGGAAACTGCCAGTACTACATTGCTTGGTGACATTGTTACAGAAGCTGTAAATCCGGAAGAAAAATTGATATAGTTTCACTTAGGGCAATGGATGAAAAAGAGATACAGTTTCAATTTCTTGGTAAAAACTGAAATAAGCAGCCCACAAACCCCCCCCCCCAATACAACTGGGTCCCAAGAAAATTAGGGAAAGTAGGGGTTTATTATATCAATGAAGTAATATAGTGTTATTATCTAAAAGACACTCAACAAACATTAGTGTTTATGATAGGAGCTGTGTAAGGATTAAGGTGTGTGTGTATGTGTGTGTGTGTGTGTTCATAGTGGATGGGGAAGGGTTAGAAAGGCAAGAGTCTAGAAGTAACTCTAGTGGAAAGAGAGAGAGGCTAGAGGGAGTCTTGAGGGAACAGAACCTGGGATGCTGAGTCATGGAAAGAGGAGCAGGAAGTGAGGGTCACAAAAAGAACAGGTGAGGAATTTTTGTTACTGTGCATTTTACTGCTGAATGAATCCCTAAATCCCATGCATTTGAGCTGAAGAAGACTTTAGAGGTTATTTACTCCAATTCCCAATTTTAAAGAATTTGAAAGTGAATTTCAATTCACATTATAGGTCTCATAATATGCAAAAAAATATTTGTTGTTCTAGTATCAACTGTTAGGTTCCCAGCAATTTCCACAGGAGCACGTACACAATCCTTTGGCCTGTGCTGGTGGGAAGAAAAGGAGGCAGCCAGCAAGAGGAGGGAGAGGGAGGGCAGTGGGCAGAAACCCAGTCTCTGAGATTCCGGCTGGAGGCAGCAGGTGGCCTGGGCACGGTGGGGGCAGGAGGAGGGGGAGAACAGGATGAGCAGCTCAGGCCTCTCAGGAAGGAGCCACCTGGGACCTGCCCTGAGCTTCTAAGCAAGACAAGCTGTGGCTTGTGGGTGGCAAGACAGTGCTGTCAGAGCAGAACCATATGTCTGGGAAGCGTGTCTAAGGCACTTGTTATGGGGATGCCTCAGTGGTCAGGTTTGGGGCTGTTTCTCCGTGCCAGTGCATTGTTGCTAGCTATGCCCAGAGGTGCCAGGCCCCAGGGTGAGTTCTGCCACCACTGGATGGACAGCACTCGGCTATGGCATGGAGGCTTCCAGTGTCCAGAGGGATATGATAAGCCCACTGCTACTTTCTGCTGTGGGACCTGTTCTCTGCGCTACTGCTGTGCCATCCCTGAGGCTCGGCTGGATCAGGGCCAGTGTCCAGAGGATGCGCCCTGGGACTCCACAGAGGCTGTGCTCCCACCTCCAGAAGGTAATCCCAGAGCTGAACGGGCAGCAGAGGGGAGTTGGACAGGTGGGATGAGGGAGATGGATATATCGAGGGTCAGACGATCTATGTTGGAATCCTACTTCCACCCCATCCTAACTGTGGTTTCATGTCAGGCTGTTTGTTTCTTAGAACCTGCTTGCCCATTGTCCTGCTGCTGATTCCTAGGAAGTACATGAGACTTGTTATACTTGAGATGAGTGGGTTTCAGGTTGGTTTTGAACCCAGCAACCTTGGTCTAACTTGGGAAATTAGACCCAAAGACCCTTTGCCTCATTATTTTGCTTTCAGCTTTCATTGCTTGTCAGGCAGGGGTTCAGAGTCCTCCCACAGTTCACCCTCACCTGAGCTGGGGAAACAACTCTTCATAAAACCCCTCTCATTCACTACGGTGTCTTCCTGAGTGGTTTCAGTTTGGTACAGAAAAAGTATCATTTATTTATTCATCCGACAAAAATTCATTGAGCACCCACCCCTTTGCAGCCAGCAGACCTCATGCTGAAAACTATTGCTTTATCCCCTTTCCTTTTGGGGATCTCTGTGGGAAGGGAGGGTTGTGGGAAAATTTTGCAGGGGTAGGACATGGGGGAAAAGGGTTCTGTGGCCCTCATTTCTTTAAAGCACTTTGTAGGATCATTTTTCTTGAGGACAAAACCCTGTGGTGCTGCTGGACTCACCTTGGGCCCTCCTCCCCCCATCTTGGGCTCCTTTCTTTGCCCCCAAGTAGCCTGGAAGTCTTAGGACACCTGCAAAGCAGTTCCTCCTAGTTCCCAAACCCAAGGCTGTCCTGAAAACACTGAATTCCTTTGGGCCTATGCTGGCTTTAGCCAGGAAAATTACCACCACTGAGGCACCAGGGGGCTGCATGTCAGATTTCCTCCAGCACAACATAGCCTCTTTGTAGAGACTTCACTGCTCCAGTCCCCAGATATTAGGGTTTAGGCCCACCCAAATTACTGAAAAGGACCAGGAGACCTAGGTCAGTGGGCCACAGCCACATATGGCCTGCAGTAAACAAGTCTAACCTCTGCCTTGCTGGATGGGTAATGAAAGGAGACAGTGCAATTCTGTAGAGCACATACATGGGTACTTCAAAAGTTTATGGAAAACGAAATTAAAATGCATAGTTTTTTTTCATAGTACACATTTTCCATGGAGTTTTTGAAGACCTCTTATGCATATTTTAAATATATGTGATACTGTTTCCCCAGCCCACTGGTGTTCCCTAGGGGTCTACTATAAATTTCTTGCTTAGCTGACTGAGCTCCATATTCAGGGACACTTCTGCAGTGGAGGAAGATCCCTCCTGTAACCCACAGATCAGGGCAGAAGCGCTCATTTAGAAGCCTGCAGAGCAGTCTGCATAGCTTCTCTAGCCAGAGTATCAAGAAGCACTTTCTGGGGGCTGGCATTGTGGCTCAGTGGGTTAAGCCTCTATATGCAATGCTGACATCCTATATCAGAGTGCTGGTTCCAGTCCCGGCTGCTCTGCGTCCCATCCAGCTTCCTGCTAATGTAATGGGGAAGGTAGCAGCAGATGGCCCAAGTGTTTGAGCCCCTGCCCAATCCACGTGGGAGACCAGGATGGGATTCTTGTCTCTGAGCTTTGGCCTAGCCTAACCTCAGTTGTTAAGATCATTTGGGGGAGTGAAACAGCAGATTAAAGATCTCTGTCTCTTCCTTTCTGCCACTCTGCATTTCAAATAAATAATTTTTTTAAAGAAGGCCTTCTTGGGCCGGCGCCGCAGCTCAATAGGCTAATCCTCTGCCTTGCGGCAGCGGGAACCAAGGTTCTAGTTCTGGTCAGGGCGCCAGATTCTGTCCCGGTTGCCCCTCTTCCAGGCCAGCTCTCTGCTATGGCTAGGGAGTGCAGTGGAGGATGGCCCAAGTCCGTGGGCCCTGCACCCCATGGGAGACCAGGAGAAGCACCTGGCTCCTGGCTTTGGATCAGCGCGATGCGCTGGCCACACCGCGCTGGCCGCGGCGGCCATTGGAGGGTGAACCAACAGCAAAAGGAAGACCTTTCTCTCTCTCTCTCTCTCTCACTGTCCACTCTGCCTGTCAAAAAAAAAAAAAAAAAGGCCTTCTTATTTCTTATTTTCCCTCTCAGTCCCTAGCTCTTCCAGAATGTACCTTCTCTTTTCTTACTCTCTTGCCTTTTTTCCTTTTGTGTGGAATTTCTATTGCCTCTATTGTCTCTCAAGAGTCAATAGAGAAAAGTAACGGAGATCTGGCATCACACTTTCTAGCAGATTGACTTGTTTACGGATATCCACTGGACTGAGACAATAACAGTGCCTTATTTAACTTTGCACTTCCTATAATATGGAGGAGCACAGTGCCTGGCATATACATACTTTAGAAATATTTATCAAATTGGTCTTACCTCCCACTACAAAGCAATCATCTATCCCATTTCTTCATGGCTTTATTCTCAATTGTCATAACTTTTATGATGGTATAAGCTACAGATATTTTTCTTCAAGGCTTAAATATTTACAGGAAACATTTCAGGAACAATAGCAGGTAGTAAAAATGATATTGCTTTGGGGAGGGGTGCCTGCCTGGTACAACTCAAATAATACTCTGCAAGTTGCTGTTACCTCTCTAAAAGAGCCCTAATCTGGAGTCCTTCTTAATTGCTATAGATACTTAGAGGTTTTTAAAAGGGTTTACAGCCATTGCTCTTGGAATATTGGGCTGATAAAACCATGTCATATGAGGGTAGGGTATTCACAGTTTCTGAAGAAGTTTGATAATCACTAATTCATGTGGTTCTCACATTTACTGATAAGTAATAGATCTCCTAACTTAGTGGCTTTTCCAGCACAGCTGCCAGAGTGGTCAAGAATTCTTGCACAATGTTTACCATTTACAGTACTTCTGCATTGTATATATATATTTAAACTCATGTTAATATTTTAGATAAAATAAATCTCACTTGTATTCATTTCCAATGAGTTCAGCATGCTTTGGTGGTCTGGTCTTATGGATCGATAAATCAATCTAATTCAAGGGAGGTGTCAGCTAGAAGAGTGTGGTTTCTGGTTTAAATTCCAAATGGACCAGCTTGGGTTTCAGTAACTACTATACTACTAGCAAGCAATGGACACCATCAGAAGTTTATTTCTCCTTTCTAAACCCCAGGTTCTTTACTTATAATATGGTATAATTACAGCACCTAGGTTGTTGAAGGAATTAACAGATGATGGGAAAATTTCAGAAACAAAGCAAGTATCAGTATGGTACAGATTAAATAAATTATGTTACAGAGACACAATGGCACATTATACATCTCCCTCCCCACCCCCCCCAAAAAAAAGGATTGAAGAAGTTCTCTGTGAACTGATATGCAAAGATTTCCAGGATGTATTGTTTGGTAGAAAAAAGCAAAGGATGAAACAATATGTGCTACCTATTGTGGAGGGGGTGGCTGTGAGAGTATAATTTGCATTTGCCTGTGTTTTCATACAGGAACATTGCTGGGATACATACACAGAACATAAATAAAACAGGTATCTTTGAGGGGGGTGTTTCAAGGTGACACTGTATGGTCAGATACAAAGGTAGGGACAAGACTTCTCAATTATATCACATTATTTATCATTTTCATTTTTGAGCCATGTAAATGTAGTTCCTACAAAAATATTTTGAAACTCTAGACATTGTGTTAGCAATAGCAACTTATTTGTAGCTTCCTTAAACCACTATGCTGTTCTATGTTATACTTTATCATTTTGTTCCCTTTTTAGCAATGTTCCTCATTTTGCTGTTACTTCAGGAATTCTTTAAAACCCAGCCCTACAAACAAATTTCCATTTACTGTGTTTTCCCCAATGTATGTGTAGAATAGCTTCGCTTCTGTCTTTACTAACTCTGACTCCTAACATTGACATTTTTCTTCCTTTGAAAACTGCACTGTACTCTGGGAAATGCACCTTAGCCCAGATAGAACTGCCTACTCACATTTCCCATTATACCTTTGCACATTATGCCTGCTTATGTCACAATTGTACTTGCTTGTTTTTGAGTCATCTTTTCCAGTTGGTTAGATCTCCTTGCAGGACAGGGCTCATATCTCTCTTATCTCTGATTCAACAGTGGACTGTATCATCAGATTGACCATTATGGGTGAGTCCCAGGCTCCAGAAAGATCTGGCATGTGGGATCAGAGGCCTAAGGACTAAGCAGCCTTTCCCAGGGCAAAGCCCAAATGTGAGCTTTGTCCCTGGAGAATTCACTCTTCTCTTCACAACCTGTTATGGGACTGCTTTACAAAATCTTACTTCTGCAGTATCTCATAAGACAAGATGACCTCCAAGTCTGATACATGCACATTCACTTTTTTAAAATATTCATTTTATTTGAAAGTCAGAGAGGGAGAGAGGGAGAGAGGGAGAGAGGGAGAGAGGGAGAGAGAGAGAGAGAGAGAGAGAGAGAGAGCAAGCTCTTCTACTTGCTGGTTCACTCTCCAAATAGCTGTCCCGGGCTGGGCCAAACCAAAGTCAAGAGCCAGGAACTCCTTCTGGTTTTCCCACATGGGTGGCAGGAGCCCATCATTTGCTGCTTTCCCAAGTGCTTTAGCAGGGAGCTGGATAGGAAGTAGAGCTGCTGGGACTTGACCCAGCACTCCAGTATGGGATGCTGGTATTGTAGGCAGTGGCTTGACCAGCTGTGCCACAATGCCAATCGCAAAGTGAATATTTTCTGAGTGTGAGGAATTCTAATGCTCCATGAGGAGATAAGTCCTTTTTTTCAGATGCTTATTAATTTTAGGATTTTATTTTATTTTTAAAAAAGATTATTTACTTATTTGAAAGGCAGAGTGACAGAGAGGTAGAAGGAGGGAGGGAGGAATGGAGGGAGGGAGAGAAAGATGGAGAAAGAGAGAGAGAGAGAGAGAGAGAGAGAGAGAGAGAGATTGAGAGAGACTCTTCCAGCCACTGGCTCACTCCTCAAATGTCCAAAATAGCCAGGAACTCCATCCTGGTCTCCAACATGAGTAGCAGGAGCCCAATCCAGGAAGCTGGATCAGAAGTGAAGCAACTATGACAGAACCAGCACTAGCACTCTGATGTGATATGCTGGCTTTGCAGGTGACAGCTTAACCCACTGTGACAGAATACTGGCCCTGTTTGAAGATTTTAATCCCACAACACACATTTATCCAGACTAGAGTCCTTAGTTGTTGAGTATGTCATTTTTGTCTTGGCAGAAAAACTTCAGCCCTTTGTTGATTTTTACTGCTCTTCTCAAAGGCTCCATGTGTCAAATCACATTTCTCTTGAGGGATAGGGACAGGAACTGAGCATATTATTTTCAGGGTCAGGCACCACATCTTTTATGCAATAAGATTATCTTTCATTTTCATTTTTTGTTAAAGAAGAAGATCAAAATATAGATAGAATTGGAAAATAATGTATTGAAAAACCTAGACTATTATATTCAGGGTACCTGAACTTTAGCTCTGATCTTTTTGGTAGTCAAGACTAAAAGGAATACACTTCCCTTTTTTTATTTCCTTGTCCCCATTCTTAGCAATGAGAAGCTCATCTCATGCACCCCAAAAATGGAGGGAAAAAGCCCTTATATTTTCAGGACACTCCATAGTTCATAAATGCTTTCACATATCTCAGATCCTTTAATATGAAGTAGGCATTATCCCAATTTTACTGAGGAATAAACTGCAGTTCAGAGATGTTAATTGGTTTGCTCAAGGCCACGTTGTTTTTAAGTGACTCAGTCAATGAGTAGGACACAGCACTTGTGGCTGCTATTATCAAGTGTTGTTTCCACTTAACATATTGGCTTTCAAAGGAGGTACTGTGGTCTTTTGGGATATGATATTCTTCCTGTGAGAGGTTCTGTACAGCATTTCCTCTTTAGGGCTACAAGGCAGATGGCTTCAGTCCATAACAACTGTTTACCCCTTTCCCTTGGTGATTACTGGTAAGCCATAGATCACAGATTCATAAATATCATTTGGATAACTTTTCCCTAAGCACATGTATTACCTCAGACCTACCTACACTGAGATTCATTCCTCTTTATTCAAAAGGCCTTAGTGTGTCATCTATAGATCTACTATCTTTCCTGCCTGGACAAGTTCAGTGCAAGCTCCTAAAGAAAATTTTCTGCATTGGTATATGCTCTGGGTGTTGCAAAGGGTATAAAATGTCTACAGTAGCAGTAGACCTCACATCTTGTAACTACCTAACTCTTTCTTCTCTCCCCTCTTCATCCTAGGATCCATCTACCTGCCCTTAGTGATCGTGGGTGGCACCTTTGTCACTTTCATCCTCTTGGGAATCCTCGCTGGTATTGCTTGCTTCCGGTGCCTTCGGTCTCAGAGAAGGGAGGAACTCTGCGCTGCACCTCAGAGTCCTGAACCTACTGTGCAAAGCTCTATTCCCAACTCCAGAATAAACGCCTCAGAAGGCCCACTGCTTCACTCCAAACCTGACGTGAGCCCTGTCCTGCCTTTTACCACTCACGAATACCCAGAGAGCACCATCCTTACCATCCCTACCTCAGTCACTAGGCCTCTCCACTGGCCCTCGCTCGGGCCCTCCCAGATACCACTCCTAACTCCCAGTACAGCTATTGTTGTAGCCCCTGCTCCCCTACTGGCTGGTGCAATTTCTTATGGGCCAGCCTCTGCTATATACCCCCTAGGTACATCATTCCAGGACCCCTTGCTGTATCCTGAAGCTCATTGTTGTTGAAGGAAGCACCAAGCAAATGAAGGGAAAAAAGCTCAGTTACTGAAGATGATTTTCTGTTTTCTAAAAAAATGAGTTGCCTTTCAGATAGATGAGTGTCTCTTCTGCCTAGTTTTTAGTAACAGTGCACTGTGGCAGCTGCCATTGCTTTCTCATAAAGAGGAAGGGTTTCATTTAAAAGCAGTATCATTTAGCTGATGAATTGGGAAAATTATGTCTATAGTGGAAATGTTGTCATCAGTCTCAAGGTGGTCTTAAGGTTTCTGAATGCATTAAAGATGTGTCTTGTGTTTATATGCTGAAGGAAATTGATAAAAAGGTGATATTTTACTTGTGCTTGTAATGTTCACTGCAGTGTTAGCCATTTAAGCTCCCATTTGGAGCCTGGATTCCTACAAGATAGATGACAGAATTTGGGGATTCAGCTCACTCTGGGAGCTGTGGGACTTTAACTGTCAGCAAGAAATACATGCATATATACATGCATATGTATTGCCTCCTTTTTAGGGCCAGTATTGAACGGAGAATTTTAAAGACAGCTAGAGGTCAATGAAGACTGAACCTGCACTTCACAAGAGAAAGTAAGATTTCTATAAAAGGACTGCCGGTTGTGACTTTTAAAGGCAATGGAAAAGGATTCATTGTTCTTTCTTGAAGAACTGAAGGCTGCGAGTGCTAATGGACAGTATGACCTCTGAGATATAATTAATCCAGAATACTTTGCAAGAGGTAAACATGCAGAGTCTCTCCAGAGTCATTGAAATGGTTTAATATTCAAGTGTTTTTACAATCGCTAATGAAAAACTATGGCACCAGATAATCAGGTGGGGGAGAACTATTCTTAATTCCCTCATGAATAGCTTCTTCTAGCCCTGGAACCCATGAAACCTGAGTCTGAGACCTCAGGGACCCAGAGGTGATCATTAGTTTAGTATAGATCAGATATTTGAAAAGTCACTGCAGCAACTGAATTTAAGTTAAATAAAACCAACGTGCATGCCATTCACCTTCTTTCATGTTGATTTGTCTACCACCAGTGTGGTGATTTTCTCAGTAACATTCACAGATTCTGATTATCATTTTTCAGAGGTAGGCCTTGTAAGAAGCTTTCTGTGTGACCTTGGGAAAACCACTTCACCACTCTAGCCTTCAATTCCTCTACCTGTCAAAATGGGAAGGTAGATCAGATAGTGGGTTTCTTTTTCATTTCCATCTAAGGTAGTGATTAGTCCTGACTGCACGTTAGAATCACTCAGGGCTGGCGCTGCGGCTCAATAGGCTAATCTTCCACCTAGCGGCGCCGGCACACGGGGTTCTAGTCCTGGTCGGGGTGCCGGTTTCTGTCCCGGTTGCCCCTCTTCCAGGCCAGCTCTCTGCTGTGGCCCGGGAGGGCAGTGGAGGATGGCCCAAGTGCTTGGGCCCTGCACCCCATGGGAGACCAGGAGAAGCACCTGGCTCCTGCCTTCGGATCAGCGCGGTGCAACGGCCACAGCGCACCAGCCGTGGCGGCCATTGGAGGGTGAACCAACGGCAAAGGAAGACCTTTCTCTCTGTCTCTCTCTCACTATCCACTATGCCTGTCAAAAACAAAATAAAACAAACAAACAAAAAAAGAATCACTCAGGAAGTTTGAAAAAAAAATACAGGTATGGTACTACGCCAAGCCAATTAAATCTGAATGTAGGGGGTGGGCAGATGTTGGAGTTTTCTTTAAAACCTCCCTGTATGATACAATGTGAAACTAGGGTTGATAACTACTTATTTCTGATCTGTGCCTTTATCTTAGGCTAGATGTGATCCAGCTTATAAGCCATCTTGAGCATATTCATTTCCTATTGGTGCTGTTACCACAAATCTACTAGTTAAAACAATACAGATAATCTGACAGTTTTGAAAGTCAGAAGTCCAAAATGTTTCGCTGGGTCAAAGTCAAGATGTCAACAGGGCTGGTCCCTTCTGGAGGCTTTGGGGGGAGAATCTTTCTTTCCCATTAACAACTTCTAAAGGCTGCCTATATTCACTGGATTTTCTGTCCCTCCTCTATCTTCAAGTGTATCACTCCTTTCTCCACTTCTGCCATCAATCACATCACTTTCTCCTCTGGCTCCAAATCCTCCTGCCTCCTTCTTGTAAGGACCACTGTGACTATATCAGGCCCACCAAGTTAGTCCAGCATGATCACTATTTTTGCAAGATCCTTAATTTAATCACACGTGAAGATTCTTTTTGCCATATAAGGTGATATATTCACAAGTTTCAAGGATTAGGACCTGGGCATATATATGGGGAAGGCATTATTCAGTCCACCATGGTGACCCTTTATTTTCCTACTGTATATAGTGATTTAAGTGCCAGATTAAAATATTTGATTCTAGCAGGGATTTTCTTGGCAAGAGAAGATTAGAATATGGCTTAAAATTGGAAAAAAGAACACTTTGCATTAGTGTAATGTTTCACTTTCATATCCATTACCTCCTTTGATCCTTACAGTTAAAATGGGAGGTTGAAGGGGTTAGCTGAGGCTAGGTGGAATGAAGTACGCTGTCCAAAGTGATAGGAGTGTAGGGTTGCTAGATTTAGCAAATGACAAAATAGATGCTTGGTTTGGGTGCTTAGCCTAGTGATTAATATTTTCTATATCAGAGTGCCTAGGTTTGATACCAGCCTCTTGTTCCTCATTCCACTGTCTAGCTAATGCAGATCCTGAGAGGCAGTGGTGATGGCTCAAGTAATTAGTTTCCTGCCACCCATGCAGAAGACCTAAATTCAGTTTCCAAGTCCTAGTTTTGGCCTGGTCCAGCCCCAGCCATTGTGGGTATCTGGGAAGTGAACTAGTTAACTAGTGGATGGGAATTCATTCTGCCACCTGTATGGGAGACCTGGACTGAGTTCCTAGCTCCTGGCTTTGGCTGAGCCCCAGGTGTTGCCGGCATCTGGAGAATGAACCAGTCAATGGAAGTTTTCTCTTTCTCTGTCTCTCTGCCTTTCAAATAAACAATTTAGAAAAGAATTATGAATTCTTGATTAAATTTGAATTTCATACAATTTTTTAGTATCCATAAGTCCCATGTAATATTGAAACATACTTTAAAAGTATTCATTGTTTATCTAAAATTTATTTAAAGATTTATTTATTTATTTGAAAGGCAAAGTTACAGAGAAGTGGAAGCAGAGATAGAGAGGTCTTCCATCTGCTGGTTCACTCCCCAAATGGCTGCAATGGCAAGAGCTGCACTGATCTGAAGCCAGGAGCCAGGAGTTTCTTCCAGGTCTCCCATGTGGGTGCAGGGGCTCAAAGACTTGGGTCATCTTCTACTGCTTTCCTAAGCCATAGCACCCATATGGGATGCTGGCACTGCAGGTGGCGGCTTTACCTGCTACACCACAGTGCTGGCCCCATACTTAAAACTTAAATTTAACTGGGCATGCTGTATTATATGACAGCTCTACCTCAGTGTGCTCCCTCCATTATTCTTCAGTTGTTTCTTTGTATTCCATGTTCCATCCTACTAATTAGTACCATTATGAATGATAGTTTAATATTCTTTTTATATGGCTTAATATTTATGAAGCTCTTTGGTATATATTATTTACTTTGTTCCTCAGAATAAGCCTTCCTGCCACCTCCTAGAGATAAGCAGAGCAGGCACTATGAAACTGCATTTTACAGATAGGATTCAAGCCCAGGAAAGGTTATGGACTTGCTCACGGGTACCAGAATCCTTGTCCTTTTACTCTTGTATCCTGGATCTGGCCCCTGTGATGTTCCACACTCATCTAGAAAGCCTAATTTCTCTCCTCCTTTCTCAGACCCTTGAACCCTTTAACCCTCCACTCTGATCTCACGTAGACCTTGCTGCCATGTCTGCAAGAAGATGAGCCCTTTCTGGTCGTAACCCCAGGCCTCCCAGGGCTACAATGTTCTTATCCCAAAGACTCCTTCCTGTAGGCTTCAGACCCCACTGTGTTAATCCAAACTTGCTCATTTTATGGCCCAACTGCTCTGCCTCTCACTTTTGGAGACAGGGAAGTGGTATCAATTCCTGAGAAGTGATTTGATCCCTCATTCATGTGCACAGTCTGCCTTGTTCCAGAAAAGGACTTAAAGAGGCAATATATGCAAATAGCCAAGAATAAAAGGAAGAAAAGTTGGAATATAGAACCAAAGCCCAGAACTCTGAACCCTAGAGTGATTCCCAGCATTCCTAGTGTCTCTGTGAAGATCTCTGTGATGGAATTGGCCACAAGGATTATGCAGACTAGATAGCAGAGATGCCTCCTCCTTTCTTTCACAGATAAAGAAACTGAGGTCCACAGAGGAAAAGAGTCCCACAATGTGTGAGGAGCAGAGCTAGAGCTGGATCTTCGTTTCTCCAAACCTCCAGGTCACTTTCCGCCCATGAAGACAGGAAACTATTTTGTTTGTTGTTACAATCCTTTGCATAAATGATAGTTCTTGATCATATAAAGACATATACTTACTCTCTTAGCCTTGTTTGTAGAAAGTGAAGGTCTACTGATTCTGGCAGAGATTGGAATTTAGCTGAGCAGAGGCCCACATGTGGAGGAGCTACCAGCAATCTATATTTATTCCCTACTGTGCCTTCCTACCCATGAACTTGAACGTAAAAAGTTTAGTGATTCCTTCCCTCCATTCCCAACTGACTGCTTCATCAGCACTAACCTACTCCTCTCCACCTAAAAGAAAATAAAAGGAGGCTGGGATAGGACTTCAACTTTTTGGTATTAATTGATCCTGGCCTGGAGTGCTTTTGTGCTAAGATACCCCTCTTTATATCTCTCTCTATCCAAATGTAAGGGACAACACTTAGCCAAACTGGATGGATCTTTGGATGCCTATTATTCTGAGGTGCATAAAAATGTGTGCTCTGAGGAAGCATTGTGGTGTGGTGGAATAAGCCACAGCTTTCAAGGATGGCATCCCAGGACCTGGCTGCTCCACTTCTGATCCAACTCCCTGATAATGAACCTGGGAAAGCAGCAGATGATGGCCTAAGTGCTTGGGTCCCTGCACCCATGTAGGAGACCCCTATGAAGCTCCTGGCTCCTGGCTTTGGCCTGGCCCAGCCTTGGCTGTTGCAGCCATTTGGGAGAGTAAACCAGTGGATGGAATATCTCTGTCTCTGTTTCTGTCTCTGTCTTTCCCTCTTTCTGTAACTCTGACTTCAAAATAAATAAAGTAAATCTTTAAAAAATGAACGTGGCCTCCTTCTTTGGCTCCTATCAAGAAGTGATGAAGGGTGGGCAGCCTTGTGGCATAGGGATTCCAGCAACCTGTATGGGCACCAGTTCAAGTCCCCACTGCTCTACTTCTAATCCGGCTTCCTGCTAATGGCATGGGAAAAGCAGTGGAAGATGGCCCAAGTGCTTGGGTCCCTGCCACCCATGTGGGAGACCTGGATGAAGCTCCTGGCTCCTGGTTTCAGCCTCCAGCCCTGGCCATTGTGGCCATCTGGGGAATAAAACCAGCTCATGGAAGAACTCTGTGTGTTTGTCTCTCCATCCATCTCTGTAATTATGACTTTCAAATAAATAAATCTGTAACAACAACAAAAAAGAGATGTGATGAAGGGCCTTTCACTGGCATTTCTACTAACGGCTTAAGTTTCCTGAGTCTAGTCTTCTAATGTATGTTTAGAATTATGGAAGACAATGGCTTTGGACCTTTATTCAAAAGAATACAAGATGGAGTTTGATCAAGGCTATATTGTATAGTGCAGGTTAGGATCACATTGAAGACAGTCAAAATTGCTAAAAAAATATTCTGACGGTAAAAACTGTAAGGAAAAGCCAATTTAGGACTATTGTTACAGGTTTCAAGATTATCATAATAGGGGAGACGGATAAGGCTCAACTTCAAAGACAGCAGGGACAAACGGGCATTGAGAGCTAATAAGCAGAATTAGGAAATCAGTGGATAGAAAATTACTAATAGGAAACATCTTGCTGAAGATAGGCCAGAGAAATCAGATATTAAGGGTGGGAAATTTCTCTAAACTGACTTTGGGGCATTGTGGCATAAAGGGATAAACTACCGCCTACGATGCCAACATCCCACATGGGTACTTGTTCTAATCCTGGCAGCTCCACTTCCAAT